ATTAACAGTCCTTAATATACAGAGAGAGAGGCCGTGAGTTCTCGTGCTCTTAGCTATAGGCACGTCCTATCCCTTGCCGGTTCCGAACGAGAGTTACTCGTCCCGCACGCACACGCGATCTCACGGTCCCGCAATCCACCTGCTACGGATCGCTAATTGCTTCCCGACAATAGACGCGAAGGGTGCATTCGGGGAGACGCTATTAACGCTATAAACGCAAACGCTATGAACTTCGTTCGAGGAGCCAGCGCGAAAGCGATAGCAAGCTCCCCGAACGCGGCTGAAGCGCCAATAGCATTTTGTGCCTCACCTCGAAAATAATAGCGAAAATAGCGCGGATTGGCAAAAAAATCGGCACTTTTCAGCCGATTTTCAGCTGGCTCCGCCCAGCGCCTTCTCCTTACCTCGCCATCCCGCGCGCAGTTCACGAGTCGTTCAAGGGTCAAGAGCGTAAACATGTGTTTACAATAGCTTTCACGTCACTCGTGAGGTACTATTGTTGACGCGTTTTTTTTTTTTAAGTGGTATCCCCTGTAGGCCTAATCCACTGACGACTGAAAGGACTCTAATTGAAGCAAAATTAAAGGAATTAAGAAAATTTAGGACGTCTTTCGGGATCTTTTACAGGCGAGAGCGGGAATAGGTATCTATTTCCATATTAGATGTTGCGAGCCGCATAAGACGCGGTAAAGATTCATCACTTAAAGAAGAACGCTTTTTATTTTTAATAAATTTTATTTTTGAAAAAGAAGTCTCACATAAATATATGGACTCAAACATGGAATAAATCCGAAGGCCGAAATTATCAAGTTTTGGGTATACTGATTTGTTTAAAATTTTGAAAAAATCAACACCGGTTTCTTTAATTGTTTTAAGGGATATATCACTATGCAAATCGCATAGTTCATCCTGCAAATCAAGATGTTGTTCTTCGATTGGCGCTGTAAGGGGATTCTCAAAAAGAATTAATTCGGTTCTAAGTTTTTCAAAACAACTAAAACGCGTATTGAATTCTTCTATGAGAGTATCTACGAAATGAATGTATTCCTTGAAATTACAGTTACTGCCGTGTTCTTCGAGAAGAATCTGGCAAGGAAAAAAGTGAAAAATATTATCATTTTAAGTGAAATTTGAATAACTATAATTTTCTTCGGAAAGAATCGACATGACTAACTAATTGGGAAATATTCTGATTTGGTCTTTGCAGCTTTAAATTGAGAAGCCTAAGTTGATTTATAGTCATGTCAGTAATAAAAGTAAGTTCACAAAGAAATGTGACATCTTGCAAAACGGCTATATGTTCCTGAAATTTTGGATTGTTAATTTCTTGCAAGAAAAGGAGGATCTCTTTTCTTATGGCAAAAAATATTTCCAAACATTTTGCAGCACTAAGCCAACGTAGTGGACAATAAAGTGGGACATTTGTGTGAACAGAATTATGTTCCTGGAGAAATAACTGAAATTTTCGATGACTAAGGAACTTCTGTCCACCTTTAATTATATTAATTATTTTTGTCATAGTCTCCATATAACTGTTGACAGTTTTACAACTTTGCCGCTTAGTACTTCCTGATGAATTATACAATGTATAACGGGGATATTAAAGTTTCGCTGCTTTAATTGACCAGCGAATCCTATCTTTGAACCGGTCATAGCTCTCGCGCCATCAGTAGTACTTAATCGAAGAACATTTATTAAAATCTACTTAAAATTTTTTAAGCAATTCTTCAACTGCTAAAAAAATATCAAGACCCGTTGTTGTGCTATGTAAAGAGACGAAATCTAAAAGCTCCTCGACACACGAGAAATCGTCTTGCACGATTCGAATAAAAATACTCAGTTGACTCGTGTGTCGAATATCGGTGCTCTCGTCAAGACATAAAGCATAATATGTACATGACGTTAGAAGATTCTTTAATTTTTTTTCTTACAGAATTACTGATATCAGTAATTCTTGAAGATATTGTTTTTGCA